CCCCACCCCCGGCCTAGGACCCGCCCCTCGGCCACCCCCGGCTCCGGACTCGCCCTGCCGCCGCGAGCGCCGCACAGTGTCTGGCCCGGCTCTGCAAACCGAGGCTCGAGCGCTCTGTTGAGCCAGCGCAGCTCAGCCACCCGAGGCCCAGCTCCCCCGCACCCCGCGTCCCCCGCTCCACGGACCTTCAGGAAAAGACGTCTCCAGGGGCCGACGGATGCGCGTAGGCCAGGGAGACCCGGAGTCAGCATCAGGGCCCGCGGATGACTCAAAGAGAAACTTGTGCTGATTTTTTTTTCTGGTACTGAGCCCCTGCCTCTTTTTTGAGGGGGACAGTCCTACTAAATTGTCTAGACTCAAACTAGAGATCTTCCTGCCTCAGCCTGCCAAAGTGTTGGGATTACAGGCGTGCGCCACTATGCCAGGCTGCGTGTGTTCGACCCTTTTCTTCTTCACTTTCAGTACATAGTGAATAAATTATCCGAGACGTTGGGCGATTGTCCCAAATGTGAGCTAGTGTGAAAGTTCTGAGAACATTTGAAGCTAGGCCAGCGCTGATGCTTAGTAACTTCGGCTCATTGAATGCATTCTCCACTAGGACATTTTCTGCTGTCTTTTTTTTTTGTACCTGGGATCGAACTTGGAACATTGCGCTTGCCAGACAGGGGAACCACTGAACTAAGTCCCTGGGCCTCTACTGTCTCTTTTAAAATTTTATGTATTAATCAATTTATTTTTGTAGTGCTGGGAGTTCTCATCCCCAGTTCTTTTTATTTTTTTATTTTGAGACAGAGTCTCACTCAGTCGCTAAACTGCCCAGGCTGGGCTTCCGCTTATGATTCCTCCTGCTTCAGCCTCCCAATGTGCTGGGATTACAGGCATGCACCACCAGGCCCAGCTCCACTGTCGCTCTTTGATTGCTCAGGATGTGGATGTGGCCCAGATGTAAATCAAGACACATCGCTATCCAGAGCACAAGTGTAGGCCAGGTGGGAAGCCTTGGGGTACCTGCTGACCAGCTCACTCTTGAAGGCCATGGAGGGTCGGCTCGAAAAACAGCTGGCAATGGGGAGGGGAAGAATGTCAGTCATTTGGGGTGGGAGCCCGGACACCCATAGGCCAGGCCTTCCAGTGTGGGTCTGGGGAAGCCGAAGGCTCAGGATCTGATAACTGGTTTGCAGATTGGAGTTGAAGCCAGGGCAGATGGCATCAGAGTTCGGGACACCACCCGGAAACCTCCTTGGGCTCTCCAGGACAAAGGCCCGGAGAGGGAGGAGCCCAGGGGTGCTGAGTGTGTCCTGGGTGAGGAGGCCCTCCTCGAGGCCCCTTGGATCTCGTGTTTCAGTGGGAAGGTGCACGGAGCTGGAGGGGCCGTGGGAAGGAGAAGGGTGGCTGGCACCCAGGTGCCAGGTTGGCAGAAGTCAAGGGCACAGTGTCTCAGGAAGGAGGGGCAGGCGCTATGCTGGCTATTGCTGAGGTGGAACAGAGACAGAGCCGGGCAGCCTTTAGCCAGGTCTTCAGGGCCTCTGCTTTGGCCCCATCCCCACCTACACTCTCCTACTTCGGCCTGTACCAGCACCAAAGATGCCGCATCTTTGGCCTCTTCTGCAAACATCCTGCTCTGCTTCTTGCCAGCCCAGCTTGACAGAGCCCTGCAACATGGACGTTTTCTCACCCAGCCCCTTCCCCTGGGCCTTGACACAGGCTGGGACCTGTGGTTCCTCAGTGCCACTGGTGCTGCACTGCAGCCTAACAGCTGCCTGCTGCAGATGCTTTCTACATTCCTGGGACATTGCCCCACCACCTTCCCCGCCTTTGCCAGACCTTGGACAGTCCTCAGTTCCCGGGGGTTTCAGCTGCTAGCTCCCTGTCATTTTCTGCAGCTCCACTCCTGTGGACCTTCTTAGTGACTGAGGATCCACAGAAGTGACCTTCAATCTCCTGGCCCTTCCCTGGGCTTTGCTCAAGCTAAGTTTGGGGAGGTGAGAGGTTCTTAAGAGTAGGGGTGCCCATCAGGCCGCAGGCCACAGGGGAAGTTCCATCAGGAACGGGAAGGTCAGCCCAGGGCCTCCGAAAGCCTCGGGGGGACTTGTGCAAGCAGAGGACTGGCTTGTTTGAACAGCCTTGGCACGGCCTGGCCTATGGTACCTGGTGGCTGAAGGCAGGAGAGAGATGGCCTGGAGGAAGAGTCAGCTCACATAGGTGGGTGGGGCTGCAGGTTCAGCAAGGGCTGGTTTGTACATGAAAATCATGGTCACAGGTGAGCTGATTGCGCTCTCTAGGAATCAGTGAGCCAGGAAAAGGGCGGTCTCTCCAGAGTCAGCACAGCTCTGGGATCTCACAGCATCATGAAATACAGGAAATTGAAAGCACGATTGGTAGAGCCTCCTTCCTCTGGCCCGCAGGAGCACCCTCCTGCACCTGCCGGTTGGCCTTCAAGAACGTCTCCCAATGACTCCTCTCGTCCCTGTACATCGAACTGCTCCTCCAGCAGAAGTAGGCTCCGTCCCTTCCTGTGGAATCCTGCTGGCCCTGGGACTTGCTTCACCTGACAGAATTGCCATGAGGGAGACGCCATGGTAGTTGCAGGCCTAGCCCAGTCCCAGGAGCCCTGTGCTGCCATGAAAAAATATCTCATTACCCTGGAGAGAGAAGGAGAGAGAGACAGAAAGAGGAAAGGAAAGAGAGAGAGAATGCCGGCACATGGAGCACAGCGGTCCTGGATTTCCCCCCTCATTGTGCCCCCAGGTGGCTGCAGCTGTCTGAGTAATCCTGGCTGTTTCACCCACCTGTTGTCATCTCACAAACACCCAATTTATCATCTATCCTGAAAGCTAGGTAGATGAGGCTAGAAGGCTCCTCTGCACTGGGGTCTGGTCTGTCGCATTCGTACCTCTGCCCCCTGGGCTGGGGCTGGTCAGGCCTCTCTCCCACGGGCCTGTCCACAGAGGTGTGGGTTTGCACAGCACACTGGTCACAGGATAGTGGTACTGATTATCTGGTGGCTGATCCCTGAGAGAGAGGAATCCTAAGGTTGAGCTCAGGAAGAAGTTCAGGAACTTAGCACATGCCTGTTATCCCAGCACTCTAGGTAGCTAAGGAAGGAGGATCCCAAGTTTTAGTTTAGCCTAAAAACTCACTAAGAGAGGGCCAGGCATTTACTCAGTGTTCCACTACCTGCCTCACAAGCACAAGGTCCCTACTTCCATCCCTAGTACCAAAGGAAAAAAAAAAAAGAAGACCTCACTAAGAGAAACTTTGTCTCAAACATAAGAAAATAAAATAAAATAAAATAGGCTGAAGATGTAGTGGAGTGAGAAGGCCACAGGTTCAATCACCAGTACCCCCCCAAAAAAGGAAAAAGAGCTGGGTGTGGTGGTGCACACCTGTAATCCCAGCACTCGGGAGACAGAGGCAGGAGGATCTCCATGGGTTTGAGGCCAACCTAGGCTACATAGTGAGTTTAAGGCCAGCCTGAACTTACAGCAAGACCCTGTCTCAAAAATCAAAAAAATAAACAAATACATAAATAAATAAAATTTAAAAGATAAAATAAAATAATCGAAAAAAAATTAAAAATAAAAGGGCTTCTAAGAACCTTGAGATGATTGTCCCTCAGCACTGATTTGTAACCCACAGTAAGAGGAGTGTCTCAAGGAAATGTGGTATATCAAATCTCTTTGGAAATAGAAGAGGACCCCGTGTTCCCAAAAATAGTTTTTTGGTTTTTTGGGGTTTTTTTATTGGTACATTTTTATTTGTTTTTTATTATTTATTTATTTATTTATTTTTGGTACCGGGGATCGAACTTGGGTCCTTGCGCATACACAGCAGGTGGCGGAACCACTGAGCTGAATCCCCGGCCCAATACATTTCTGGATATACATAATGATAACGTTTGGGCTGGGGATTTAGCTCAGTGGTTCCGCTGCCTACTTCATAAGCATAAGGTCCTGAAAAAAAAACAAAACATAATGATACCGTTCATCGTAGGTACATTATAACTGTACATAATATATCTTGCTGCTCCTTTGTTCTTGTTCCCCTTCCTTCCCTCCAGCCCTTCTCCCCCTCCTTATTTATAAAACTTTGTTTCCATTATTTTCCTTCTGTTCTCTGGTTTCTTGTCCCTTCTTGCTTGCCCCCCCCCTCCCTTGTTCCCCTCCTCATTTAAACATTTTCTTCCCATTTCCTAATATCTATCGTGCATTTTGGTCCTTATTTACACTTTCAGTTTCTCACATCAGAGAGACAATGTGATACTTAAACATGTGTGTCCAATTTATTTCACTTAAGAGTATGGTCTTGAGGTCCATCCATTTAGCTATAAATGTCTTAAGCTTATCCTTCTTTTTTTGTTTTGTTTTGTTTTGGTACTGGGGATTGAACTCAGGACCTTGCGCTTGCAAGGCAGGTGCCAGGACCACTGAGCTAAATCCCCAGCCCAAGCTTATCCTTCTTTTTTTTTTTTTGGTACCAGAGATCCAACTTGGGTCCTTGTGCTTGTGAGGCAGGCAGCGGAACCACTGAGCTAGATCCCTGGCCCAAAAGGCCAATAATTTTTTTTTTTTGGTACCTGGGATTGAACTCGGGTCCTTGTGCTTGCACAGCAGGTGGTCAAACCACTGAGCTAAATCCTCAGCCCCTCAAGTTTATCCT